TATTATCTCTTGCCTGTTGATTGTGCTGTGTAATGAGCTATTACGGAAGATTTGCTTGTGTGAGTGGTACGTGATGCGGCTCAATGAACATCATAATTATTTTAACAGTCAAATCTTTATGAGAAGGTGGCCTCTCACTTCACGAGATTCTCATTGTGAAGCTTAAACGTGCATAGGCGGAATAATTGGTGCTGTTAGAACAGCGTTTGATTTTTTGAATATCGATCTCTGAGAGCCATTTGCTATAAAATTGCAAATGCGGTCAGATAAATGCAATACTTTCTGTAAATTGCGAGCTTCTTACATTATTGCGATTCCTCTACATTGCAGAAGGGACGAGAAGGTTTGAGAAGGTTTAGGGGCAAAGACGATAGAGATAGACTGTTAGAAATAAAGTGTGGACTGTGAACCGTGCACAAACTTTTCTGGACGTCTTTATTGTCCTTTTTTCATAACGCAACGTTTTTTGCTTCGAGGTCGCCGAGGAATAGCGCTAGCACGTGGCCGTTTACCGCTCTGTCGCTCGTCTAACATGAGTGGCATTTTACGCCGACCGCGAGTGATTAATGTTCCTTAGGTATTTAGCATAGTACGAGCGTGTCGCGTGTAACGAAGTGGCTTCACCTTCGTTTCCCGACATAATTGCAACCGTAACCACAATTAAATCTTCAACTAGAAAGTTGAAAGCAAATAATAAGCCACAATGATTCACCATTATAGGATGATGAATATGGAATAGAATATGGTGAATTTTCTTAGCTCAGTTTATGCTTTTAAATTTCTTGGTTTTATACGATTTGTGCAATCGAGCGAATCATCGATCGAGATTTCATCGATCGATAATATTTTTACACCAGCGAAAAAAGTAGTGTCAGAACAATTTTTAAACTTCAAAACATCTGTTGTTAAAGAACACAGTTGGTCAAGTGGTGCTCTTCAGTGTTGCTTGTTGAGCTGCACAGTTTTATTAGGTTGCATTGCGAGCTCTTCGTTGCGTTTGTTTGTATGCTCTGGCGCACTTTGCTTTCTGGACACGCATTAATAGTTCTTAAGAAGCTTCTATGATAAAATAATGGAAAACTCAAGTTAGGACAGAGATCGTGGTCATCTATTCCTGTAGCGGATCTGCACTGTTGATTATTTTTTTATTTGTTCCAGTTTATGTTTCCTCGAACGAATAATTACAAATCTGATTGTGTTCCAATTTAACCTTGGTTCATAACTGACGTGCTGTATCTGTAATACGCTGCTTTTAATTTTTGCTCCTTATTTGTCTGGCTCGCCTTCGTAATAGCATTTACACTCTAAAAGCTATAGCTCCCACTGGTATGATTAGTGACCTCGTAGCTTCATGCCACTATTAGTTACTTTTTATTTATCTTTTATTTTTCAACTTAACGTTTTTCTATTGTTTTTATCGATTAATTCTGAATTAATTGAAATATATCAGAGGAGCTCACAGTTGTTGGCCGCATCTGTCTTACTTGAGGTTGAATGGCAAGACAGGCGTGGATGGTCCACTTGTAAGAATATTGCATTCATCATTGTTGAGTAAATTCACATACACCTGGGATTTGTTATTGATTTCGCTTTGCTTATTTCAAATTAATCGTGAACGAACGAATAACTGAAACTACAATAGAAGTAGAGGCGGTAAACAGTGTATTAGATAAAGCTTATAAATCAGTGTCTTAGATACTGCTTATAAAAAATATTCATAACCATGATAAAAAAAGATAAAAAAGGAAATATTTTCTGAACTTACTTGCGAATATTCAATGGAAAACTGAATTAAATTATTGATGTCAATATGTGCATTAGCATGGATTTATTTTGTTTTTGGTTGACGGCGTGCAAGTTGTGCTACTACAGAATGTTATGTACTCGAGTTACCAGCTTCATATTCCTAACTTGTCCGCTTGAGCCTATTTCGCTTATAATGTTCTGTCAACGTTTCTGTGAATCGTGCGTAAACTGCAATGATTGTCGTACTACAATGGCATGACGTTTAAATGTTAAACTTTGAGTTCCAAAGCCGCAAAGAGTTCTATTTTGATTCTAGAAATTCCATGTTTCAGTTTAGTGAGACTTGTTTTATTTTAGGGAAATCAAAAAAACGACTATTTTCTAGTTGTCTATTACTATTATTCATATCGAATATCCTACACAACTGCTGATATACCTAGAAATCTGCAGGGAAATATTTCGAAATCGCATATTGCTCAAGCTCATGCTTAGGCATGTGGTAGTTCTTTAAGATGCTGGCGAGCTCGCATCACCTCATTTAATGGTTGCACAACCCACTTGCTGGGTACGGAGGTCGTGTGTGTGTTGGAGTGGCGGAGAGTTTCATCACCGCTACTGTTTTGATATGCTGGTCATGTCGCGATGTTATTCCTTTACACAGACATGACCACTAGCTGGCCAGAGGCTGCACCATCCCGACTTGCTTAAGTACACCAGCTTCCAATTTTTCGCCTGTGATTGATGGGTTCAACTTGAAAAGCCGTCTGTGATAGGCTGACGGAGTTATGAAATCATAATTGTTTTTTAAAGTATGGCCGCTGCATTATGTGTACTATTTGAAGTAGTATAGATTTTATCCAGTTTTCTGTGTGTATTGTGTAGTTCTTGCGCGATCGTTTTAAGCATCCGTACGTGCTTGCACTGCACAATTACCATCATGGCATCATCTGCTTATAATTTTCTCACTGCCGGCGGTGTCATGAATTTTTTCTGCATTAACTCGTTATGTGTTACTCGATTCCAGTTGTCCGCGTGAATTGCAATAATATGTTGTTTACCGCATGTATGTACCGGTGTTACCGCTTTTGTGTAGTAGTTTCGCTTCATTTTATTCAGAGGCTGTCAAGGCAACAATAATGTAGCCTTGAACGTAACTCCGAGTTTGAACGCCTTCAAGAACAGACTAGACGAAGCTATGCAGGAGTATATGTTTAGTCTTAAAATGCCTAGCAACTTACGGACCAGGCAATAAGTCCAGCAGCTATCTCAATCAATCGTCAGCTATGGAAAGATCGGGTTCCAAAGGCCGGATCCCTTGTGAATCAAGTCACGAAAATTACAAGAATCGGCAATGGGCCATGGGCCTATTTCTTCAGTGCCGACACTTCTATTCTTTGGCAACAATAATGTTACGCAAAGAGTCTTACAATGAACGATTGATTGTGTTCAAGATGTTTAAGCTGAAATCCTTCTGGCAACGATTTGCTTAACGTGTTTTGGATTATTGTCCAATCAACACTGCAATTTACCTTTCGCTGGCAAATTTAAGTTAACCTAATTTAAATTGATATTATAAATTGTGATTAGTGTTCGTCGGAAAGTTTCCTATAACATAACATAGTGATCTCGGCGCTGAAGTGTAGGCCTGATGTGGCCTGTCGCCGATTCTTTTCCTTTTCGTGCCATGATCACAGAAGATCTAAAATCGTGTCATTTGACCGATCTTTTCATGACTGACGATAGTTTGATGTAGCTACTATATATAGACTTCCACCGGGTTCGATATGGTGCTAGGCATTAAAATTTGAACATATATTTTTCCATGGCTTTATCTAGTCTGTTCTTGAACGCGTTCATACTTGGAGCGCCAACGATGTCATCGGGGAGGCTGTTCCACGTGTCGGTGATTCGAAGCGAGAAGAAATGTTGTTCGTGTGGAGAAGTTGCAGCGCAGTTTTTTTAGTTTATAGCCGTGGCCCCTGGTGTTGGTTCTTGTTTCAAATTCTAGTAACACGATTAAAGGTATATGATGCCATGTTGCTTAGTCAATCACTTTCTCTGACAATTTAGTTAGCCTCAGATGGGCTAGATAGTTAATGGAGTATACCTATACAGGGTAACGCATTTGGTGCCTTGTATTGTAAGCGCCCGCTTTCAAGCAAGCGCACGGGATGGATACGTGGTAACCGCTTAGTGTTGACTCGGTTTTAGCATGACATACTACGTAATGAACTTGTCTTTTTTCTCTTTTAGGGTAAAATTTATAATAATGGTTGAGGAGAATTTCTCCACTCGTTAATTTGAAAATGAAATCTATTTATCTAATGACTCCGGCTCTTAATTGTTTCGTTTCAGAAATTTGAATATTACGATTTTTTTGTCAAAAGCAGTTATTTTTACTTTCACTTCTTGTTTCTTCGTACATAAGAGTAAAATTTGCTTTTGCTTCCATTTGCGCATTATACGTCAGCTCGAATTAAACTATTCTTCTCGGAAGTTTAAGTTGTTTACGTTGGATGATTTTGTGCAGAAGCGCAAATCTTCGTTTTCATTTCAACGTTCGATTCCTGCGTTGAAAAAAAAATACACTAGAAAAAATCTTGGAAGTCTTCTAGCAATTAATGTCCTAACTGGTAATGAGCTTCCGCGAGACATCGTTCTGAAAATTAAGCACGTCTATTTTCTGTCATTTGAGAACCCAGAACCTTATAGCTAGCCCTAAAAAACTAGTCAGGATCTGGTTGTCCTTGGAGCCGCATCCTTTTCGCGGCGTCTTGCAGCTGCAGCCAAGGTTCAAATCTTTGAACCCTGCGTCGCCGCGCAATGTCAGTTTTAAGAACCATCGCAGTTTATTTTCACTAGCACAACGAGAAATAATCTCTGAAGTTCAACAATATATGTAGGTATCAATGTCCCTTGTTGAAGCTTCTGCCCATGTCGTTGGTGCGAATTAATATATTATCAATTAAACATTTCATGGTGTTTCGATCAAAAAAGTAATCATTCACCTTGGAGGCAATATTATGATTAGATTAATAAGAATTTGTGAAGCTAATGACATCAATTGCAAGAAAAGATAATACCAGAACAATTGAGTTGAGATTCTGGCATATTGTGTGTGAGCGACGTAGGTATTTTCACTAATTGACGTAATTTGCCAGCTTGTTCTTTGAAATTCTGTGAAAAATGAAATTTGCACTCAATTGCCGTTAATGATGATAATTTGAGTATGTAATCTTTTTATTTGTTTGCAGGCTTGGCAGGCGGTTACCTCGGCCCCTTCATGACGTGTCAAGACAGCTACAAGGGCTACTCAGAGTGCTCGCCCCACACCGCCTTCCAGCCCGCTGGTAATTTGCATTATTATTATGCAGTATTTCATTCTCTTTTTAATGTTCTTATACCATATTTCATATCTTTCCTCCACGCTATGTGTTCCCTATCCTAGCCCTCGTGCAATGAATTCTTAATTGACTTATTATCATTATAGCCTATCTCGTAATTTTTTTTCCAATCCTTCCTCCGTTCGTTATCACCTTTTGGCCTATTATTATACCTTATTTTATACCCTTTTTAATGTCATTATTATACCTTATTTCATATCTTTCCTCCACGCTTTGTGTTCCCTATCCCAGCCCTCGTGTAATAAATGCTGATTGCCTTATTATCATTATAGCTTATCTCATAACTTTTTTTTCCTATCCTTCCTTCATAAGTTATCACTTTTTTGCCTATAATCGTACTTTATTTCAAACCCTTGTCCCTATCACTACTCCAGCCCGCTCGTGATGATTAATTGCCTTATTATTATACCTTTTCGCCTATCCTTCCTCCACGAACTGGGTTCGACCACCAGCCAATACGTAAACATTATTCTCTCATTCTTCCTTTCTCCACGCTGCGTTTTTCTTAGACAATTTGTCTGCCAAATTTACCAGCTGCAGTGGCCTAAAAACTGAGGACTCATAAGGATGCGTGCTATACTCGTTTTTTTTTCAATGCTAAAGAATATTTCCCTACAAAATGCTCATATTCCCAAATTACAAGCAGAACCCAATTTATCCTGAGATTGAGAATGTTGTGGGGAATTTCCGAAAGTCTTTCACCCACAATTAGAAAGCACTCCATTTAATATTCAGTCGCATAGATAATGCAATTCGTTAGTGCAGCCTGTATACCGGTATCTTGCATTTTTGTATAAAAATAAGTTGCAAATACTCAAATTAGGAAGTTTTAAAAAGTTAATCTTAAAAAAGAAACTAATTAGTTATTTAAAGGTTTGTCTCGGTAAATTTTTTTTTTCGTGAGTTCGATCTACGGTGCATTTTATCTGCCTTTGAGCTGCAGGCATGCTCCCGGGCGCCTCTATACCATCACATTCCTGGGAGCCTTGTTTCTTTAATTTACATCATTCAGTCTTGAATTAGTATTATTCCCCTTTTTTGTATTAAATTTGCTTTTGTTCACTTTCTAGTGAATTTCATGCGACTACGAAATTTTATGTGAACAATGAAAAAAAAATATTGCTCCTTTCAAAAGTAATTTTTAGTGAAATAAGAAACCCGAATTGGACTCAATTAACTCACTTTTGCTGTTGGTGTTCAGGTGCTGCGGTGTTCGCTGGAGTGTGCAGCGTGCTGTGCTGCGTGCTAGCAGTGTGCTGCACCGTGCTGTCAGCAGCGGTCTACAGTATGCATGCGTCCGGTCAGCGCGTGCTGCTCAAATACAAATACGCGACCGTCTCCCGCATGGTCGCCTCAGCCATCGCTGGTAACCGAGACAATTATATGCTAGTGCTTGAGGATTCACCTCTAAGTTATCCGAGTGATCGCTGGTCTTGTTGGAACTAACGTTGTTCCTTTCCTTGTTAGAAACTCGTATCCTTATACTGTTGTTCCTTACCTTTTTGGAAAGTCACAAACTTGTGCTGTTCACTTTCTTTTTTGCGAACTCACCATCTTTTGTGAAAACGCCAGTAACCATTACTTAAATTTATTTTCAGGCTTATTGAGCTTCATCGCGATGGTGGCGTTCGTAGTGGAGGTGCAGCTGGTGAGGGGCGCCGCGGTAAGCGGAGGACCCTCGTCCTATTCCCTCGCCTGGGGCTTCTACGTCCAGGTCTGTGCATGCCAAGCGGCCGGGGTGTTGTTGAACGCAATAATTTTACGCTACTCGTTTTAGGGTTGCATTCTTCATTCACGCAATATTTTACTCTACTCGTTTTAGGGTTGCGTTCTTCATTCACGCAATATTTTACTCGTCTCTTATACACATCTAGATGTGTATAAGAGACAGATGCAGGAGTATATGTTTAGTCTTGAAATGCCTCGTATCCTACAAAACAACTGAAATCTAGAAGCGNCTACTCGTTTTAAGGGTTGCGTTCTTCATTCACGCAATATTTTACTCTACTCGTTTTAAGGGTTGCGTTCTTCATGTACTGCAATATTTTAACGCTACTCGTTTTAGAATTGTGTTCTTCATGTACGCAATATTTAAACGCTATACATTCTAGAGTTGCGCTCTTTTTGGTTCTAGTTTTGAATAGATGGTGTTTCTAGCAATAAAAGTTTAATGAAGTGATGTAATCAGTTAGTTCAATACTTAACTTGATCCCAATGCAGTGCGTATTTTTGTTTCCCATTTTGCATCGGCTTGAATGGTTAGGTGTACGACGATACATATTTTTTATTTATCAATCGATGTAATGCCGTTTATTTCGAACTGATGATCAGGTTGCGTATTTCGTGCAGGTTTTAGCGACGCTGGTGTTGTGGGCGGCAGGCGGGGCCTCCAGCGCAGAATGGCAGCGCTCGCGCAAACTCGGCGGCGACCCGACGATGGTCAACCGTGACTCGCAAGGCCTGCATGCCAACACCATCTCCAACCCTCACTTTAAAGACGACAAGCAGCAAATCAAAACTGTGTCTGCGTCAGTCCCTCCTCTTGTTATAAGAAGTACGTCCCCCGTTTCGAGAAACACTTCCCCCGACGCACCGAAAGCTGGTTCCCCCATTGAAAGATGCGCGTCACCCAACGCGCGCGCTCAGTCGCCAGTCGTGCGCGTAACCCCGCTAGGACGAAGTGAATCACCGTCAATCAAGAGCTCAACGTCCTCAGTTCGAAGTATGTCTCCCACAGGCCAGAAACAAAATGCTTCCAAAGCGAACGTGAGAAAAGCTCAACCTATTCTGCCGACGCCTTTGGACGTTCACAGAAGTAACGGCGTCTCAGGCTCGCAGGTGAACGGCCTGCCGTACATGCTGGGGATTCAACGGAACTCCAACGGCCACACATCTTCTCCTGGAGCGCAGGCCAAGCGTTCTGTCTTCGACTTCAATAATAAGATTATTAAGAATAAACCGCCTCGTGGGAGGAGCAGATCACCGAATGGTCGGTCTTCTAGTGCTCGAGGGACCAGGTCTCCGAAGAATGTCCGCAAATCCCAAAGTAAAGACGATGGTCTTGCTTTCGTCCCATACGATCCTAATCGCGCGCCCTTGCGTTCTTCTCTGAGGAAGCCCAGGACTCAGAGTGAAAGCCTCTCAACCGACACAACTGACGGAGGGGCTGAAGAAGGAGGTATTCCTAACCTCGCGTTTGCTCAGAGCAGTCCCGTCACCAAGAAGAAGGTGCGCATTCACACGCAGAGCACTGCCGTGTAGACCATTGCTTCTCACGCAGTTTTTTTTATTCTAACGTAAATCTTGTATGAGGTTATGTAAGATTTTCAGTAAGAGTTTTCTTTTTGTGCGGGAAATCATAACTTGCATATGCTAATTTTCTCTTAGGTTCATTTTTAGTTCATAGGCTACTTGGTTGAGATTGATATTTATCAGTATTTAATAGAAATCCCGAACGAATTTTCTCCATTTGCTAGGCGACTATGTTAACTTGAAAAACGCATTCCGTCCGTTTTCTCGCAACTGTAAGATTACCGCATTTATGTATGTAATATTTGGAATCTCTAGATGCTGCTACAATTCGACATTGTTTCTTTGATAATACGACTTTCTAGTTAAATTAATCGTGTACAGCAATTTTTGTAAAAGTAAATGAAGGCCCATAAGAAGAGTGAGGTAAAGAAACGGTGGTAACAGTGCGAGTCCTGTTACTTCAGGAATTATTGTATGTTGATTCCTGGAAAATTGTCGGTGCTCGATAGTATTAGCTTAACTATAATTACTACCTCTATTCCAATTGTTTGTTGATATTGCTGCGAAAATTATATATTAATGTTAAAGTTTCATCGATCATACGTGAAGGGTTATTTGTATAATTTAATTTAGGAATCGATTTTTGTTGCAAGAAAGACGTGTAGCACGCCTATCGCCATGCTTCTTACCGCGCCTGAGATAACGACTTGTGAAAATTAATTTATTTCACATTGTTTTCATATCATTCAGTGTTCTGTTGAATTTCTCTTTCTCTAGGTAACATCGACATCTTATATTCATGAATTACATTTGTGCCTCTAAAGATGTGCAACGAGAAATGTCAGTTCAGTGTGACTGCTGAAAGTTGCGTAGTGCCGCTTTGACTCTTGCTGGATATTAATTCATTAATTTTTTCATCTTTTATTACTATCTAGCGCATCCAATGAAACATGCTAACATTACGACAATTTATATTGTTCAGCATATTTTGATATGTATTTTATTAGAAATTCTCTCAAGCAAATTTTGGCAGAGATTGAGGGAGTCGTTGAAAATATTTTTTGCATTGCCATGCATTGAATTGCATTTCTTGATTGCATAAAATAAAATAATAGCCGCGAATTTCTCTCATGGCCTGATGACAACTTGACGTTTAATGCGCAATAGAACATTTCGATTAAACTGTAAAATGAATGCACTATGCCAGCGCGGTTGCACGTTGTGAAAGCGGAAGATATTTTCATAGGGCATCTATTAACATTTTGTTGTTAGGATATTCAAATAGTGTATAATGAAAGTAAGCGTTAGGGATCTAGAACTATGCGAGCTGTGTTTTGATAACTAATCCGTCCAATTGTTAGCTGTATTTAAGTGCCGAGACTCGTGTACAAAGTTAGCTATCGTGCCTTGTAAATGAAATGCTTTCATCTTTGCAGTACCTAGACGACAAATATTTACTGCAGTAACGTTGATTTGATCACGGTTTTATTATTTTTTTAATATTCTTCATCTTTTGAAGACTTTGCACCAATCCGTTCTCCTTGACGCGCTCATAATTCGTATTGTTCCGTAAAAATATCAAAACAGATAAATCACGACAAACAGTTTTTCAATTTTCATGAAACTATTTTTACGCGAAGCTCCTGTGATCAATTAAGAAAATTTCAAAATTTTCTTGTCACAAATATGCGTGCAATCAAACCCCTAACTTACTTAGTTTAATATTGCTACGAAGTTATTGATACCTTTATGGATGTCTATAATAAAATGTCCTGTCAAAATCAGAAGTTTGGAAATGCGCAAGCAATGTAGGCAAATTTAGAGGTCAATTATTCCTCGATTTTTTTCGTCAGTAGAATGTGAAATATGCCCTGAGTAGAAAGGAAGCTGATAAATACTGATTAACTTGAAACTTTAGAAATACTTACACGACGATTTCTTGACATAATCCAATTCTCCGGGTCTCGTTTTGTCGTCCAAAAGAGACGACTCGGGTAGTTATGTCATGTCCACTACTGACACTTACCACGAACGTCTCACGAAGAGGAACGTTGTAAACTTGCGCTACGTCACGCGGTTGTCGTGTCCTTGGTTAATGCGTTACAAGAAAGGGTGATATACATTCCAGATTCATTCACATATGTATATAGAGGTTTTTAAGGGACTTATTTTGCAAAAATGTAACTTATCGATTGCAAGATTGTTATATTAGGTATCGTATTATTTAACGTTCATTATTGTTTGCAGGGCAATGTTATGTTGTACAATATATGCCCTGAGATCGATGGCATACGCGCATTTATCCAAGGAAATAAAAGTGAGAAAGAAATGTAATCACAGCTCTGCTTAATCCTAAAGATGCCGTTTATTGCGATGCTCAACGTTGATAATTCTAAGGAGGTCGCAACGAACAAACCGGCGCGTCATTATTTTCAAAGGTGAAAATAACAAATTTGTATCAATGTTAACATAAAATATAAAATTAATAATGGAGGCAGTTATTTTTGAACGTAGTGGAAGAAATGCAAGTCCTCACGCCCGAAGCACAATACATTAACGTCAAATATCAGACGGCCATCTGCAATATATTATACATTATGCACGAATTCTGCACAATAATTATAATAATTTCTATTGGTATTATAACACCACATTTAACTTGCAGTATTTAAATCGATACTAGTTACTAAATTTGTGCAATTTAGACGGAGAATTTTAATGCACGTCTTTTGAAATGACGCGCCGTCTTGTGCAATATACCTTAAAACTAATTTTACAGCGAACATATCCAAGTTGAATTGCAACACCCAAGCGCAATCAATTAGAGCCTAGCAATTTGTTTTAAATTAACTAATTAACTAGTCGTAAATTCAGAAAATTAAATGTGTTTAAATAGAGTCAAGCTAAAAAAGGGACAATTAGCTAACATCATTACAACCGAGAATTCTCAAGACACTGATAAACGTTATCCGCTATAACGTCTCACGCTGTGATGTACTCCAACACGTGCTTATGGAACTTCGCTTGTAGCGTCTTCAGCAGCTGTCCATAGTTTTGTTAAAAAGTGATTTCAGGAAGTGAAAATACTTTGGAAAAATGTGTAAGCATAGCAGAAAAAGACAGCCAGAAGAAATTTCAAGCTAAGCCAATCTGAAAGTAAGGGGCGAAAAGAATGCATAAGGTACCAAGTATGCAGACTGAAAAAACATCAGTCCCTGGGGAGCTCTCGCTGAAGCAAAACGGTCAATACATTAAATACAAAAGCTTTCGTTGAGCAATGAGTAATCCTAACAATAGTTGAGTTACCCTACGGTAGTGGAGTTACTCTAACGGTAGTCGAGACGGCAGCAGCACACTCCTGCTACTTTCAGTCGAGAGAAAATACTAATCATAACACTAGTGGAATGTGGAAGTTTCATTGAAACTTACTACGATTACATCAGATGAGTGCTACCTCAATGAGAATCAGTCACAACCTTGGTAATTATTTAACATCTTTATCGTCATTCACAAGCAACACCGTCATTTCCGAAGATAAGGATGCTTCCGTGTGCAGTTAAGTCAAACTCGATCGCGCCAGTTATCCTCGTTGTCGGGTTAAGTATTGAAATTTTAAACGCGAAAAGGATACGAGTAACAACTAGTTTCCCGTAGCAAAATTGTACCAATGGCCATCTGGTCAAGCAATTGGATGGCAAACAATGCCTACGCATTGGATGCAGTTGCGGCAATGATGAGCCGACAAGAAACGGAGTCGCATTGACCTCAGCTCAAATCACTGGTGCCAACCAAGTTGATATAGAAGTTTGTGATAGAAAAAATAATATTAAATATTGTAAAGTTGCTGACAGAAAACTGAGTCCCATACACAATACTTCTTGAAGCGCTGTCACTGATCCTGAGAAGGCACCGCATTGACATACTCCGCCAGACAGTCTCCCAATTCTTGCGCTGCTACCACCACACCGTCGCACTCTGCACAAACACGACTTTGATATTACCTTTAAATTGGGAAGTAACTAAACAAACGATGTACAACAGGAGAAAAACTGTAACAAGCAGCTGCCAGCACGAGAGGCAAGGGAATTTAGATCTGCATATCTACTTTAGAATGCAGGCCCGGCAGATTAGCTTTGTACTTCGTAGCAATACTTGCTACAAATTGAACTGCTCCCAGGAATTTAGTTAATTAATGAGAGGTGAGAATCATGCGTGCCTCGCCATCAGAGTAGCACCACCACACACCTGAGTCAGAAGACAGTCCCCCAGCAGGAAACATGGCGTCCAGCTGCTGCAGGATGTCTTCCAGTTCCAGCTGTAGCTGCTCACAGCTCATATCCAGAGAGGTGCTCATAGAATTACCTGCAATGCGTAGAAACAGTTGAACACTTTTTTGAAGACTGCCTGATATAAGTACGAGGGAGCATTGAAGATTTATTGACCTCCTTAAAAGAACTATTAACCTAAACGTTGATAGTTTCTAAGAGTAGATTTGAAGTGTACTTTATTAATGGGATTATCACATCAAGGAACATCATAAGCCATCATTGAGGCTGCACAAAATTTACATATATTCTGAGTAAACAAAATACAACTGAACAAAATTAGAGAGTAAGAATGAAGCTAAATAGAACTTTTACTTTAATTAATAAGTCCATTCATTGTTGATGAGATAACCAGTAATGGAGACGCTCTAACGAACAATGGAGCAGGCAGCATCCTGAGTTGGAGTGACCCAGATTTCATTGACGAAACGAAACTCATCAAGGAGTTAGAACTACATAGGCAGGATAAAATTCATCCTATTTACGTTAATGCACGATGCGTTAGGATGAGAGATTCCTATCCTTCCAACAATGTCGTCCTCGCACAACACTGTCGTCTAATCATTAATGTCACATTGCTCATGTATTTGTAATCGTCATCTTCATGATAATGAAGTAAAAATGTTTCCATAGGACAACATTCTTTCATGCTCGATTTTTGAAAATATTTCTGCCCTGAAGTTCTATTGTTAGTGAAAATTAATCGAGACGGCAGCGGCACAAAAAAAATCGAGACGGCAGCGGCAAACTGTCAAAAATTTTTTTTTACAGTTAATATATGAATTAGTCGTATAGAACCACAAAAGCCCAATTAATTTTAAACATAAAGAATCATTAATAAATAATGTTAGGCTAGGCATAATCATTCATTATAACTCATGTTTACAAACAACTACTTACTTCCAGAAATGGATACCCCGGACGTGGTATCCAGGTTACCAAGCACACTCGCCCGTGTGTTATTACTACTTCTTGAGACTGAAGACGCAACGACTCTACTCAACGGCGCCGTAAATGCGTTTTTGTTGTCGCAGTTGGAACCGTTATTGCTTCTCAAAGAATCATATTTGCCACTGACGCTGTCACGGTCAGTGACGGTAGCCTGACCACCGACGAGGGTAGCTTGGTCACCGACGAGGGTAGCGAGTCCGTCGGAAGCACTGAGCACTGCGTCGCAGTCTACACTGTACACGTCGCGCGTACACGACCGCCCACTGCCACCCCACGTCTGTAACCAGATATTCATTAATCAAACACGTCTTACAGCTCATCTTTTAAGCGCATGACGCGTGGCAAAGGGGCCGGTTAATGGTTTGCTTACAAAATAGCAACTAAAGGCTCTCGGATTACGTGGCAGTTCACAATGACCCTTAATTTCAGACCAATAAATAATAACCCCCACTAAGGAGCTGCCACTCATTGATAGAATCTGTAGCACAGGAGAATCTGACACGCATTGAAGACATCTTTCACTCTCTAGAAGGAATCTTACACTCATTTGAAGGAAACAATCACTCACTGATAATCTGTCATTCATTTGAAGAATCTGTCCCTTGTTGGAAAGAATCGGCCGCAGACCACAAATCTGACAGTCAAGTGAAAGACTCTGTCACTCACCCTAAAGACTCTGTCACTGCCAGTTCTGGTGAGGTCTGAGAAGCTGACTTCCGTGAAGCTGGGCAGGCGGCATTCCTCAGGAGCTCCCGAGTCTTCTGTTCACGCATTTCAAGAAATTAACTCAAATTCTAAGAAAGAAAACAGTTCCTATTCTAGTTTGACGAATGCGGAGAGAACACCAATAATTGATATTAATTTAGAAGAAAAATTATAAAAGTTACTCAATTTTGGCATAGTAGAATGCAAGTATGAAAGAAAAATATCAGCTCTGCAAAGGAAATACATTACACATATAGGACAAGGTAACATGACACAAGGTAACATGCTAACAGTTTATCATTTTGAGAAACGTTACACTCACCAGTCGAGCGCAGGTCGCGTGGGGCTTCGTGGGCCAAAGAACCCCTGTCAGCCTCAACGATCCCCAGGGCTTGGGCCTTCTCCTGATGGCAAGACAATTTCATCAGCCACAGGGATGTAGCAGGGATAAGGTAAGGAATACGGAACATGAAGCAGTTGCAGTAATACTGACCACGCAGCAGGAACCTTAATTCTTATCTTGTAGCTGGTACAACAATAGTGATCTTGGAGCAGCTACAGTAACACTAATCATGTAGCAGGTATATTAATATTCAGAGGTGGGCAGTAGCGCGCTTCATGTAGCGACCGCTACTAACGGCCGCTACATTTTCAGTAGCGGTAGCGGCGCTTCATTTAAGCAATTGTAGCGGTAGCGATAGCGCCCGCTACATATTTAAGTAGCGATACGATGTTTTGCCGCTACAGCGCTACCGCTACATTTATAGATAAAGCCTTTAGATTTTATTTAATAGTATTAAAATATTATTTAAAAACCAGCATGATACATACATAACATAAATTACAGAATAAAACTGTACGAAAGATTTCGGTGTAATGTTGTCAACCTTAGCTTGTTACTAGTCTCAACATGTTAGTTGTTACTTGTTAAGTTGTTACCAGTTACCACTTACAGGTATTTTTCATGTTTCAGTTTGCAGTTATTTTCACACAGATATTTTTATGTTTTCACCTTCCCTACATGGATGTCTACTTTAATCTACCAATCTCAAAAATAATTCACATATATATACAAATATATTACTGATTTTTATATGTATATGTGGGTAATTTTTGAGATTGGTAGATTAAAGTAGACATCCATGTAGGGAAGGTAAATCATAAAAATAACTGTAACTTTTATTTACTGTATCTAACCCGTAATAGTTCGGTTAGGTTAATTGCAATAAAGTTGCATTGATATGTTTTGAAAATGTTTTATTTTCATTAAATGTTTATGAGTAAATCCCAATAGCAGAACAATAAATATTTAGAGATTTCCAATAATTTTGGCCATTGTAGCGGCAAATGTAGCGGCGCTACATTTTACTGTAGCGGTAGCGCTCGCTACAATCTAGTGGGTGTAGCGGTAGCGCCCGCTACAATGTAGCAGGAACATTAATACTAATCATGTAGCAGGTACAGTAACACTTATTTTATGGCAGGTATTACCTTAGTACTTATCATGTAGCAGGTACAGTAACACTGATCTTATTGCAGGTACATTAATACTGAGCATGTAGCTGGCGTAGACTCGCAGAAAAAAAAAACAAAAATACGTCCTAAATATGAGAAATTTCCACAAATCAAAGACAAGTTAAAATAGTTCGCATAATCAGCCACCTGCTCGCCGAGCTTTTTCATTACGATGGCCGTGTCATCCAAACGCCTCGCCGAGTCACAACCACTGTGTACAATCGGGGACAATGCAGACCACGAAGTCGTCTTCATTTTTCTGTTAGGCGCAACTTGCAATTTGTCTGTTGAACTTGCCGGTCGCTGCTGCTGACCAACATTTGAGTTCATAGGTTCACGAGGTCCTGGCGATCCCCTAGGGATGTAAGTAGTCTTTGGAGGAGCGAGATCAAAATTTTTAGTGGGCATGCGGGGCCGCAGAGGCGCCCCACTGATGGGCGTGCTGCTCTCGAAGGACGGCACGCGCTCGTGACGCTGGCGTTCAAGGGTCGAGCGAACACACGGCGTCACGACGCCCACTGGACCGTTCATTTTCTGGGGACACACAGCAGCAGTTACATGCATGGTGTTATAACCTTAAGGATAGTAAATTGAGAAGGCGATTCAAGCCGTAATAAATATTGTAAATATCATTGGATTTAATGAGAAGTGAAATTGCATTTATTATGATGTTATTGCGCGATGCGCAGTATGAACAGCGTTGATTTAGAAACACGAATATCAGATAAAACCAGGAACTTTGTTACAAAAAAAGAAAATCTACAACAATATTACCACGGAATGTTTGTTGCAACATTACCCTACCATTAGTATCTTGGGTAATTATTGATTCAGATCCTTAACTTCCAAAGTTGATGCTTTCGTCAGAAATTGTGACTTACACAACGATTAGTAAGCTGCCTCTTAACTCTAAGCATCCTTCTGAAGAAATTTATTACTTAAAACTATCAGGATCTGCTGTAAGATAATGACCGAAAACTCTACAGTGACAGGAATATATTTTAAACAAGACAGGAATTGATAGAAAGCAATTATTGCAATAGCAATTAATAGCATGTCGAGGACACATCAATACAATGAAGCACCTGCAGCACAGAGCGGAGAGCAGCGATGTGCTGTGCCAGGCTGCGCGTATGCTGCTGGACCACAGCAGCGCTGTTAGCGCCACGTAGTGACGTGTTGCTGAGGGCGCTTGAACAAACACACAAATACAAAATTAAATTCCCATACAATTCGTTAGTGATTAAGGTTAAAAATTTCTAAGATAGACCATATAATTCATTAGGGATTTGGGTGACATCTTGCTTAGACCATGAAAAAATTTAAGAGTAAATTTTGAGACTTGGTTAGTACTTTTAAAATTTCTGTTGCACAGAAAGCGAAACGAAGCCTGTAACGAAATAACTAAAATAAATCTTAAAAATGTAACGTTATTAACTGAAAGTTTTTTACTTGTTTAATAATTGAAAGTTGTTTACGACACATTCATTCCATCACAGCTTGAGAACGCATTATTTCTCAAATCATAAATAGAAAAAGTATTGATAAAATTCAATGATTTGAGACAATGTTTACGCTATCATCGCGGCATTGACGGTTGATGCAACTCACGTCACAGTTGTATATATACTACCAGAGGCCGTACTACCAAAAATAATTTAAGAGTTCGTAAGTTGCCAGGCAATCACTGAGGGCTTTACGGGCAAAACCCATCAGCACTAACGAGAGATCGGCCGCTACGTGTAGGTACTTATTTTGCCATGTGCAGTTAATTAAGTTCAAGTGCGTATTGATAATTCGCCATCACATTTCACCGTCAGATGGAGAGGAGCTAAAGACTCACCAGTAGCCGCCTTGCAGTTGACTGATGACAGAAGCCAGCTGCCGTCTAGGGCTGTCACCGGCGGAAATGTGAGTTTTACTGGAACCATCTGGAAGACCATTTATTTCATTGAGTAATATGAAATAGATTTAAATACGTCACATAATGAACGCAAAATTAGTAAGGAACATCAGAATCAATGATTTTAAGTAATTTCTCAAGACGTTACATTTGTCTGCAAGTTCTTCTCACACCTGAGAAAGAGGCGAAATCAATATCTTCGTGAATAGACAGAACTTTGGAATCGAGTATCCAAAATGATAATGTGGTAGACCTGCGAGTTATAAGGTGAATGAAATGAAAGCATCTCATGGTTTGATTGAAATCGCATTTTATTGCACATTTATACATGTGCCGAAATATTTTCTTGCAATACAATTCTGGTTCTTATATCTTCAAAGTTACTAGAATCAAGTAATAGCTAGTTCAAAATATCAAGTTAAATTAATTTGTATCTTATCTATGACCATCGCCATATTAATTCTAAAATTGCATCTAATTGACATTGATTGCTCGGCATAAGCTGTACGAATTCAATATGAATACAGAACAATAAAGCAGTAGCAAGTACTCACGGAGCTGCAACTGTTGCTGGCAACGGTTTGTTGAGTTTTGTCGTTCCATCCTCAGCAAAGTTTCATCTAAGCATGCGAGGGCTTTGTCGGCAACAGGAATTCGGCCCGCATCATCTTGGACTTTTATCGTCCTGCCAGCAGCGGTGTACGCAGGGTTCATCCTGCAGCTGCCATACCGAAATCGTCCGTACAGGTTCTGATTTCCTGAGGCAACTCCATGATTTGGATTCTCAGGGTTGACGTTGAGACTGCGCGAACGTGTGTCGTTGCGCACAAACGGACTGGGTGAGTCGCCAGGCTTTGACTGAAGTTTGATGTCATCTTTAGTTGTGCAATTCATCTGATAACATTTGTTACTTCTAGGACCTTTGAAAAGGCGGTTAAGAAGGCTTTTCTTGCTCTTCTTGGACTTTTTTCCTTTGTTTGGTACATTTTCTGCACCAGGATGCAGGAAGTTTGGCAGACGATGATCAGAAAAAGCTTCTTGGACTTCTGTAGGATTCAAAGGTTTTAAAGGTTGACGAGACATCAGGCTGGACTGAACAGTAACCAGCTTCCTTTCCATTGGATCTTCAGATATATTCCTAACAGTGTCATTGATCTTTTCGTATTCTTCATTTTTATCTTTCGCAACTCCCCTGTCGATCTTCTTTAAAGCCTCAACTTCATCATCGTCCGAAGCATGGATTCCTTCAGAAATTTTTCTCTCGAGATTTTTCACTGGATCGCAGTCAAAATCATCATTAATTTTTCTATACCCGTTGACGTCATTTGGACTCTCACAAGCATCCTCAGTGGAGCAATGGTCGTCAGGGACGATGGACACTGACCAGGCGTCGCCTCCAGGAGGAGCAGGGGACACAGTTCTCGTGGGCATGGAAGACGTCGTGGCGGCACAAGCTGGGCTCTGGCGCACGGCTCCTGAGGGGGCAGGTGTGGTGGGGTCGGGTCTTATCTTGTGCTCTCTCCCTGACACTGTGGTGGCGTGGCTGCTGGAAAAGAACCAAAACAATGTATACAGCGATTGATAAGTATTATACAAACTTCTCTTGTAACCAATTGTCGTTTATATTCTATTGCAACCAATTGTCATATGTTTTTAAGTCGGTTAAAAATATAATAATAATATGTACACATACTAATTGCCAACCTAAGGGCGTTCCAACAGACGAACTCGATAAAATCATATTCTCAAATTCACGGAATTTACGAAATTTCTCATAACCCAAATAAATAACTTTCAAAATAAAAGGTTAAAGAATTAGGGACACGTTAAGAATATTAGTCAGCTGGAATAGAATGTGAATGAGTGAGTGGTAGGAAAAATGATCATTATCAGGAATCTTTTCATTTAAAATTTATAGTTTGAAAAGAGATAATTCTACAGGTTTTTTTAATTAATCAGAGTGCAACAATTGCCAATGAGATATTTCAGAACTTAAGATAGGAATTTGTCATTATTAATATTAGAAAGATATATAAAAATGAATAAAAGATTGTTCTTGATTTTTATATGCAGATAGCAGACCCAGGCAGAGGCAGGAAGCGCTGCGTGGCAGAGGAGCGCGATGAGAGACGCAACTTAGCGGCCACCCTGTCCAGCGCTGCCGCACCGCGCTCTCGTAACCCGACCTGCAGGTGCCAGGGTGGTAAGTCAGGATACCGCCCTCCTGACTGAACCCCCTCTACCATGCATAACACTAAGCAATCGCTCTAATACTTTAAAATAAAAGAAAACGCCCAGTAAGCTCACCATAACTTCGTTCAAAATGTTTTTCCTACCAGCTACATTATCGGTTCAAAAAATTTTAGAAATTTTTCACTAGAATCGAACAGCAGGCAAGATACCACAGAAGAGAATAATTCAGGATCTAGACATCATACAAAAAAAAAATAAAAATTTCCCTCGTGATAGTGCCTGGCTTTTTTGTCCAAGAGACATGAATTTTGAATTAGTTTCCATATTAACCATCAATTTAATATTGAAGTGGTGACAATCTTGTCAAAGAACATTTTTGATCTTGTCTCTAACTCAAAAACTTTAATACATTTCTTTGAAAGTAAATTGCAAAGGACGTTGAAAACACGTCTATTCAAGCAAACAACGTTTAATTCGAAGGCAAATGTCTGGTGAGAAGCTGGAGCTGTTCAATCAAAACCCTAATGAACGAAAATTATTTGTTCTCAACATTATGAAGAATTAGGACGTAAATCAACCTGTTGGCAGTGCTCCTGCACAGCGTGGTCAGGGCTGTGCGGTGCAGAACAGCGTGCAGTGAAGAAGCACAGCTGGCACAGAGCGTAGCCTGGGCACTGACGGCACACGTACAGCAGGCCAGTGGGGGAGTCAGCACTGCACGCACTGCACTGCACGCCTGCGTGCTCAACTGAAATGCAAAATGAAAATCAGTACAAGGAAAATGCAAACAAATAAATTCAGAAAAATGAGTGACGGGCATGAATGAAAATTGTCAATTTCAATTCTACAAAATAATTAATTAATAATAGAACGAGATTTATCCAACCTATTTATCCTAAAGATTTATCCAGCCCAGAAAACACTGATAATGAAAAACGCAAAAAAAGTACAGGTTGAATTAAGGAGAACCAATATCATAAAAGGAGTGAGTCAAGTCTAGACGAATGAAATGGTTACCTCTGGAACTGTTTTAGAAATAACTCTAACTAGATAACGATAATGTTCAAAACGAATGAGAGTTAGGTTGACAGTTGTCACAGAACAGCTGACGGCGAAATATCCTCTAACACACAAGACAATTACATAAAAAATATAACTCAGTACTCACTGCAGTGAGTGACAGAGAGCACATTTTCTCGTTGACGAAAATTTGAGGTCGCAGACGGACAGACGGACGGACATGGCGAGCAAAATAGTGCATTTTTTCCATAAATGAGAAAATGCGCTAAAAATTCCATTCTTATCGTCAGTCATTAAGGGTAAAAATTGTCAAAATGAAATAATTTGGTTATCTATAAATTGTCAACAAATTAGAGAAATGTTTGTCTGAATAATGCTATAATTTAGAGGTTACCAGTGCTAGCATAAGTGAGCCTGTAGAGCGTGGACCACCACACGAGCGTCTGCGGCTCCTGATGCAGCCAGGCACAGAGAGAGGTGCTCGTCAGGCTCCTGACATCAGCCTGCACCACAATAACAAACAGTCAATATTTGTGATGAAGCTGTGAGGTAATTAGACTTGGTAAAAACAAAGTGATGAAGAAGCTGTGAGGTAATTAGACTTGGTAAAAACAAAGTTGAAATGATACACAAATGATCAACAGAACACGACATCAGCACACCTCAACACGACAAATACACGAGGAAGTAAAGAACTGAAGTGGAGTGTTAAGATGAAACTGCAATTCAATTTAGAAACTGGAACGGTTCTCATTTCAAATAAAACTTGCTTTCAGTCAAGGTGAAAATTAGTGAAACTGCAATTTAAGGACAAATTTTAGTGCAGTTGAGCAATGTACTGAATTAAAGAAATTGTATACGAGTGTTCAACTTCAGACAGGAAAAATAGTGTTTTCATGTGTCAAATTTATCTCTTTTAAACGAGAAAGCAAACATTCAAGGATCGATCCGCATTTAATTAAATTGATGACTCAAAATTCCTATTTTTATTAACAAATGTAGCCTTCATGAGAGAGACGTCCAAGAGAAGGAAATTAGTTGCAATAAAATTGAGACTGGAGATGCTTTGAACAAGATATAAGGCAAGACGGATAAGGTTTAGATAGTACCTACCGTAGCTATGTACAGGAGTAATATACAAATTTTATTTTTGAAAAACTGGCACCTGAGGCTGAAAAGCAGTGCTGACAGTGGCGTCGACCAACTGCCTGCCAAACCACAGCTCTTCTCCCAGCAGTTCTGGGAGTCGAGCAAGCAGCAGCAACGCCCGGTGTAGAGTGCCTCTGAAAAGATGGTTCACATTAATCTTCTAGTAGACTTCAAATTTGAAACATTCATATTTTCTTGTAAGCTCTGACATTCATTTTCATAATGGTTCACTTCATATTCAGCATGTAACTTTATCCCAGGAAGTTTAACCAATCAAATTTTCTTGTAAGCTCCACCGTTCATCTTCCGATCTAATCCTCGGAATTGAAGTAACAGGTTTTCCCATTTACAACTTTATGCATTCCATGATAAGTTTTGGAAGTCAAGTTCATATTTAACAACAATAAATTTAACAAAGTACGCATGTGATGCCCTCATGGTGAATGAATAAAATGTGGGCGATGCTGGGATAACATGAGGGAATCTCTATAGCACAGTCAGAAACATGAACAATGGACAAGACATTTTGAATCGAAGATTCGATACATCAATACGTTAAAAATTAGGTATCTAGGTAGGTGTTTAGATTGTACTAGTAAAAAATTTTTTATTGTCTGTTACTGCTACTACTCCTGCAAGAAACTTATGTCAAGAACACATAGATTTATGTACAAACTAGAATCTCCATATCTGTTTCCTCATGTATTAAGGTGACATTTATGTAAAAACAGTAATTGACTTTTGTTTTCACAGCTTTGAGCAGAATTTATATTTTATTCAAGTCACAATTCCAACAGGTGATTACAGGGATAATTCAGAGTGTTGCCAGCAAGTCAAGTGAATGTAAGTTATGTTGAGACCTAATTTCACCATTTTATGAAAAGAGCAACCAAAAATAAAATGAAGTATAGGTACTTATATTATTAGTCATCTTAAATTGCAAGTTCATCATGAATGAAAAGCAAAGAAAACACAAAGTAAAGTCACCATACATCCAGCAATAACGTTTTGGAAAGAAATACCAGTTGCATAACCAGATCTAAAATGCATACAATTAAGAATTACTACTAGAATATCTATAGATTTTTCAGCTGATGATGGAGCTGGTCTCTGAAACGTTTTCAATGAAAGAGAAATAAGCTATGTCCAGAAAATTTTTCAACTGATGATGGAGGTGGTATCTGAAACGCTTACAATGAAAGAGAGAAAAAAAAGAAACAAGCTATGTCCGGAAAATACATGATTTGTTTGGAGAGAAATTATAAGCACACCTGTACGTACCTGGAAATTTGTCCTTCATTGCCAGTAAGTTGAGCAGCAAGGAAGGCTTGGGTGCGCTGAAGAGAAACATCAGCGCCACACAACACACACAGCACAAGCTTGCAGCCAAGAACAGGCACTACGCCTGACCTGCCCCTGAACAAAAATAGTTTATATGATTGTCACGTATATAAGTGAAGAATAAGCATTATTAAATTTAATAGGCTTTGAATAATAGTTTTAATTCAAGCATAACTCGCACGATCTGAACATGAACATCTTACATGAAAATTAAACACGCGAGTTGGATGCCTGATGATATCACCAAATCAATTAGGTGCTATAGTCCTTCAAAATTTAAAGAAACAAATTATTAACCATATGCGGATATTGAGGAATTATATAATCAATTTCAAGTAACTTATAGCAACCATCAATAGTCTGTTGTAATGATTATTCTTGCAAGCAGTTCAATCATGCATTTCATGTTTCATTCCAACTACATCAGAGAAAAAAATCCATGACTTAGCTCCTCCAAAGAACCACTTACTGGTCAAATAAATTGAGCAGAAGATTGAGAAGCAGTTCTACTGAAACAGATTTGTCAATTTCTTCGAAAGAATTTGCACACACATTACAATATTTCTTGTCATGAAGTTGCTTCTGAGATGCTTCTTTTGCTGAACAGCTCGTTCGTCTTGATTCACACTTGCAAGGCTTTTTTGGACCACTAACTCCACCTGCTTTTAATTTGTCATCAGAATGCAGTTGTTTCAGACGTTTGCTCTGCACCGCGCCTCTGCGCCGGTAAGATGAATTATTTTCTGACTCAGGCAAAACAAAGAGATTTTCCAGCAGAGCTTCAGTAACAGCAACTGAAATTTGATCATCATTGCAGTCACTGCTTGTGAGGCCCACACTTGCGAAGGCTGCCACCATTGTTTGTAGGTTCACTGAGGTCACTGAAAAAAAGTAAGCTCTGCAGTCTATAAAGGACTAAATATAAAATTATTTCAGTACAACTAATTCGGTTACTAGTGACTATGATACTTTATTATAGTACCATTCAAACATGGATAAAGTCATCAACATTTCTGAAGATAAAATCAGCCCATGTTGATAACATACCTACTATTGACTGAAGCACTATTTTGACCACAGCTATTATATTTCATGCAATGTTATTTTTAACTTTTTAATAAACGTATGAACAGCCAAGCAAATAATTTAAATCAAAATTACCTTGTCTAATATATGGTGGTAAATATATTACCTCCCAAAGGGAGGCAAATATATTACCTCCCTCCCTTACCTCCCAAAGTGTCTCTTATATGAGCAAGTTTCTGAGCCATTCTGTAGGCAGTGTAGCGAGTGCCTCGGAAGCGCTGGATGACGCCCTGGAGCAGCAACACATAGTCTGGGTGGTACCACTGGCTGGTCTCCAGCCGACAACTGAGAAGTGAAATATAGTAACTATTAAAAGAAAACAAATGTCCATAGATTTTTGGACAATGTTCAAATCTAAACACTTGCAAGTAGCTTTCACAAAAGTCTAGGGCAAGGTGATCACTGATTTTTCTCTAGAGATTCAATGAAGTAGTATCTAGATTCTAGATAGTACCTAGGTACCTATTGTAAAATGTAGGTAGTATAGCATAGTAAAGGTGCCAAAAAGGTGGTAATAGAAACAAGATGCAGAGCATAAAACCAACCTTTGTTTTGCATTGCTACTATGTGCAGGTCAAGCAACGATTAGAGAACTATAAATTATATATACCTAGGTATATGTAATTTATGTCTAACTATCCATTTCAATATACTTCACTTTTCTTCTCAATTTCTGCATTTTTGCCTGATTAAATGAAGTTAGATTTTATTGTGGACTCACAATATGTTATTGAAAACTTGAAGATTGCATTAAAACAAGAGACTAGTGATTCTTGGACACTCTATTGGCTAATCAATACATTTTTTAATAGAGATGACCAGAAAAAGTGAGATGGAGGAAAATCCAACAGAGATAGGTAACATATGTAAAAGTTGAAAATGGGCAATCAAAATAAAATTAATGGTGATTCCTTGGTTTTTGATGTCAATTTGTTTCAGAAGGAAGGTCAGATTTACATTGAGGCCAAACCAAATAAATTCATCACACATTGAAGTATACAGTCAAAGGAAATATGGTTTGTATTTAGGATATGAAAAGTATACAGAAGGGCAAACAATTCTGTTTTCCCATTGCTTCTTTTTCAATGACCTATTTTTGCAACCCAGGCATCTAAAAAGGTTTGCATCCATGTTAGTAGTTGAAATAAACTTTGTGTTCAAACTTAAAGTGAAAAATTGGCTGAACACCAAGGCTGACTTACCTTTAAACTAAATATGTAGGTACCTAATACTATAATAGACATGAGAAATGTGTACTATGGGGAAAAAGAAACTCAGAAAAGTTTGATTTTAGAAAAAGAGTTCCATAAGAACATTTTTGGTCAATTTTTATAGCTCTGAAAAAATAGGCACCAAGGTAGCCTTGTTTGAAAATAAAATCAAAACAACTACAATGCTCAGTTTGTCACCAGGTTTAAATCTTGCCAAAACTCTAGACAGATAGTCAGGAATCTGCCACTATGAAGCTAAAATGTTAAGTATTAAGTCCCCTGGCAGTTGGCTCATGCACACAGTGACTTTCCTAGATATCTTGGTATAATTTGGCACATACAAACAAAAAAAAACTTACTTTTTATAGTAAGGCACACCATTTTTTGTCTGATCCCGGTGCCAATCCACAAGCAAATCACCTGTAAAAAATACATAAAATCACATTCTATTCTCCAATGATAGAAAAAAATTAAAACACCTCCAATGTTGATTCCTATGAACAGCTCTCAAAATAAACATTATACTAAACTTATGTTTTCACTATAACACTTTGGCCCTTGACTTGGGAAGTTGGGCATGTATAAACATGTCGCATTTAATAAGGTATTGTGTGGTTTGAGCAAAGAAATAAATTCTCTCTTTAGTTGATTTCCTCCTTGATAATATATACAGCACAAACTTTAATAAGGACTACCTATTGCCAAAATCTCAACATCTTGATGGATACAGATTACAGAATCTTGGGGCTTGTAGATCCTGTAAGATCAACGTTCAATCTTGGCCTTCAAATGTTTTATGAAATTCTATGAAATGAAATTTTGAACAACATAAGTTTTTATTATGGTAGGTGGTAGCCTGCCATAATAGTGTCCACAGTAATTTTACAGTGCAGTGAGTGCACCCAAAAGCAGGCATGGAATTTATCTACTAGGCAAGCTGCAACTGAATTCTTGAAGCCGTGGTTTTATGGATCTGCCAGCCGTGATTCCATTTCTTTGAGCCGTGATTTAATTTCTTGGAGCCATGAATTCCATATCTCAGCCATTAAAAGCCATTTACAAGCCAGCAGCCACAAACTTTTAACCAAGTCTTGTGCTCGTGTTACCCCTAATCTCTAATTTTATCCTAAAAACAGTCAACACTACCATTTGTCTTCACTTGAGTGGCAACTGATTATGTGACAATGCAGTCTGAACGCTCTTACATGACTGCAACTATGCGATCTATAAGGAAACGTTTTAGGTTAGTTTGTTGTTTTGTTGTGCAGGATATTTTGGCAGGATCATTGAAATAGTGAGGATTGCAGAAGTTGGAAATTTTATGAAATGACATGTTTGCAGGGTGCAAACTGCAATTTTTTCAATCAAACAAAAATACATGACATTAGAGCCATAAGATTTCATACCTACTAAAATTATATATTAGAGCCGCAATATTTCAGAAAAAATTGGACTTTTCTAGCCCTGCCCAAAAAGTTTCATTGAATGATTGGTGATCTCAGAATATCAGTCACTTCATAAATTCATACTACAACCGAATTGTTTCTTAGACAAAAAACTAAAAAATACATAAATATAATAAGCCTCTAAAAAAGTAAAAATTGTTCTTTGTCCTATTTTGGGCCAATTTAAAGATTTGACATGAGTTAGCCAATTGCAATTATAGCAACGCAACTTCATTTATTAATTAGCAAGGCTTAACAAATAAATTTGTAGGTAGTTCAAAAAATAAACTTGCTCTAAAAAAATGAAAAGCTAACATTCTAACAAGTCCAAAAATATCCAATACCGGTACCTACCAGTTACCTAGATTGAAAATATGTTGGGAATGGGAGACTTGGGGTTGGGCATAGTGGCAAAGCAGAGAGTTTTTTAGACTCTCCTTCAAGTTCAATTTCAAGAACTATAAGTAGACCAGAAAAGTATCATGGATACCAGCATCATCATACATAAGATATTGGCTCAAATCTTGGGTAAATGAGAAAATTAAAAAATGAACTGATTCTAAAAAATCACTGGTTTGTCACTATGAGCCAGACTGTAGAGCATGGCACAACATAGGTCGAGGACGCCGATTTCATGCACCAAAGACGCCGAGGAGGATGCCACTGGACACCACTGGACGCCGGTAGGCCATGGACGCCAATTTAAGGTCGATGTGGCTGATGGAGAGCTTGAAAAGACGCCGATATCTCGAGCTAAAAGGCCCTACTCTACAGCCTGGACTATGAGCTTGGGGTACAGAGCCCAATCTAAATTCGAAGGCTCTTCAAGTTTCTAACTTACTTAGGCTAGCTAAAAGCCAATTGACATTAGCTAGGTATGTGCTCAATTTAACAATCAGTCTTAATCAGATAATATATATTATATAATATATTACTAGGCTTAATACTAGCAATAATTATATTTATTATAAATATAGATGGTTAACAATTACCAGTAATTATTAATTATTGGAACTTTCCCATTTCTAACTAAAATCTTGAACTTGCAGAGTTGCAGTTGCAGCACTGGTACCTAGCCTCTAGGCCTACTCTGGTAGCACAAGTAGCTAGGGCTAGGGGTACCACTGTTAGCACTGTACAAATACAGATTATCAATAGTCTAATACTATTAATTAATAATTTTTAGATGTACCTAAATTTTCATTACCTTTCAAATTTTTAATGGTGATCATGTGAGAGGTTTTCATCTTAGTACTCTTAGATACATGGTGGCAGGGAATTATTGTGAGTACTTATGCGTTTGCAAGAGCATCGACCGGTCCGGCTCAGCGGGGGGGGGGGTTTGGTAGGAAGGGAATAATGAAAGTCTCATTTACGACTGGACTAACCCATTGAGCANACGGCCAGTGTAGCTGTCAGCTGACTTTCTTCAGAAGTGCAAAAGCTTTTGCCGGTGAAGGTCACAGAAGGTGTGTTTTACGATCGGTCCGTAAAAAAGCGTTGATCGGTTCAAAATGACAAAAGAACAGGTTCTTTTGAATAACCTATGGATTGCCACCATGCTTAGATAGAATACCTAAGTAATTAATTTTAGCTGCTAAGCTTGTTCTATAATCAAATTCTATAATTTTCAGTCTTCACGGACTGACCGAGTGTTCAGAGTTATTATTATATTCGAATTGGTTGTTCCGTTACCAAGCTCTATCACTCGAACAGTCGAACTCAACTGTACATAAGCAGCTGACTAGGCTAAGCGGTCGATTGCTCGAAGCCGAAGGCTAGTACTGTATTTCAACAATATCAATGTCGGTAATCTTTGGCCCTAGATTCACACAATATGAACCTGCTTGTTTCTAACTCTACAGGGCATGCGAAAAATATCCATTTTGGTGGATCAAACTAATCACACTATGCATACTAACACCGCCAAACTTTTGAATCAACTGCGGCGCGGACTAAGCACGACGTCCGTCTCTCAAGCACAAAAGGAATGGCCAAAGTTGACTGTTGAGCAGTCTTCGGCACCAATTCAAAACATTAAACCGTTTTCTTCATGTGCAATACGTGTTAGTTCGAACTTCAAAATCATCCTGACATTCTAAGTAATGTGATTAATTATATTCAGCCCTGTTTATTCATACCGCCTGAGAAGCTTATCTGCTTATGGGCATTCACTTGGATTTCTCTATTATTTTATAAATGTTTTTTTTTTAATTGTAACTAGAGCTCCTTTGTGAATAAAATCAATCAATCAATAAAAAAAATGCTTCGAGATCTAATGCTCACTGTTTGATTAAGTATATCACATATTAGACGCTTACACCGTTAGGAAACTTTTCCGACCTGTCTCTAAGATTCCGTGTACATAAAATGTCTCTCAAACTAATGACCGCAACTCGATGAAACTTTGCACATACTTTCATTAAGACCTAACGGTGATGTTAAGGTAGTGATTATTCTACAGATCCCACCTTCGTTTCAACTTATATTGTCGGGGCCAAAATTTGCGGTAAACGACAATATTTTCTAAACTGAAGAGATCTGAACATTGAATATTATACATTTCTAGATACCTTACGGAAATTTTTCAATTAGGCTTCACTCGTGGGATATACATACGGCTATATGAAGAAGCAACCATACATGCAGTGAACATAAAATATCTCCCAAACAAAAAACGCTGCAGAACGCAGCACTAATTATAATCATATGCGTTCATTAGGACATAATGGGGATGTTTCAGGTCGCGAAAAATTTTCGATTCTGCCTTCGTTTGACGTTTGTGAGGTAAGTTATACAGTGATGATGCTTTGTACTCATTATGTTTATGTATTGGATTCCGCGTATTATAGCCTCTTGCGTCTCCTATCATCTAAATTTATCCATTAAGTATTTTTGATTAGCAGCATACGTGGTTCTAGGACGTGCTTTTTAAGCATTTATCAGGCTTTATCTTGTTAATAATGATGGTTTACTGTGCGAAAGATAAAAAATTATATCAGTTAATTAGTTTTATGGAAACTCTCGACCTACAAATTAATTTTCTTTTTATATGTGCATATATATGATAATTTCAGCAGCAAAATCTTGAGAAATCCAATCGCATACTGAGTATAGCTAGAATCTCAAGGCTGGTAAAACTGGCAATTGAAGTTTAGCTTTTTCATAGTACACCTCTAACTACTATGTAGTGCTGGTGAATCAACCATCTGAAGCAAGGAACTGAGGTATTGCTATACTCGAACGGCTAACTCAATCAAAAGTGTGGTTATAAATATATGAAATTTTTTTTCGTGAGCGGATACGTATCCCAAAAAGGATACGTTCTAGTGAACGCAAAATGACTTGCTCTGATGGTTGCCACCACGTACGACAACTTTAAAATATTTTCTGCCGCGTACAAACGTCCTCAGGTTGCTGCACTCAATAGCTAAAGTAAAATTTAAGTTGAAAGTTATGTTCCCGGACAGTGACATACGGCGGTAAAAGGTTAAGAAAAGTTATTGGCCAGTCCCGTTATCCAATTCTGTGGAAACGCTGAGTAATCCCAAGCATAGGTGACCGGAGCAAGGCGGTGATCGTGAATTATGAGGTCCACATTCACTTGTAATAAACACAAAATACACAAAGATATAAAATAAAAACTTCACCGAAATTAAAAATAATAATAATATAAAACTACATGCTAATATACCAGCATTTATCCCAACAGTGTACTCGAAAAATGAATAGAATACTACTACAGTATTCCTACTATACTTTATGCAGCTTATATTACTTGCTTCCCTCTTATTTTACGAAAATACATGAATTGCCACTATAGCAATTTCAAGTATTAGACGGTTCAGCGATAGAAGTAGCTGACTTAAGAGTCAGACAAAAATTTTGTGTTCCATTAAGCGTGTGCTAGCTAGAGACAGGCAAATAGAGTAAGACTCCTCGATGCTTGCCTCTAGCACCGATAAAATGTCAACGGATCATATCAAGAGCGGCACTGAGCAGTCGCGGCATGCGCATGGATAACTCAAACAAAATGCACATGAAATTTCATTTTTAGTGTAAGGAAAACTTATTTCATAGATGGTAAGTAAAGAATTTTTAGATCTCATTAGTGCCGCAACAAATTATCAATTAAGAATCCATCCAATTAATTGTCTATCCATCTATCTAAAATTTCAATTTTCTCTACTGGCATATAAGTATGCAATATTCATGCAATCATATCAATATTGTGCAATCATATCACTATCATGCAATCATATCATATCATGCAATCATATCAATGTCGCGCAATCATATCAATAACGTGCAATCATATCAATAACGTGCAATCATATCAATAACGTGCAATCATATCANTGCAATCATATCAATATCGTGCAATCATATCAATATCATGCAATCATATCAATAACGCTAAGAATGCCGCGAAGAATATGCGGTTTCACCTCGAAAAAATAATTCATTGCTTTCTACCGAAGACGTAACTCATGTCTCGCGCTATTAATTTGAACATAAGTTTGAGAAAACCGAGGATTAGCCTAAAATTATGAATAATTTAGTTATGGATATATATAAACATTTCCATAAATAAAAAGTTATGGATATGTTGTCGGTCGCTCGCCGACCTAGAAACTTGATCTACATCTGCGTTTGATTTCGATCTAAATCTTGATCTAGGTATACCTAGATTTGTCGGTATACCGACAAATCTAGGAACCGACAGTTCTTGTCGAACAGTCGAATGTCGTGATCATTTTTATCTAGAAAATATTTGAAACCTGTATATATCAAGTGAAAAGTGTAATAAGGAATAGTTGGAATTAGTGAATATATATAACAATCCCAAGCTGATAATTCATTTGAAAAATACCGCAAAGAACCAGTAATTTAAATGTATAACAGTAAACAGTAATAAAAAGTATTGAAATTTAATTTTTAAAATACCGCGTAAGAGAACACCGAAAAATAACGTTTATCTTATGCAATGACAAATTAAATACTAGATGATATAAATTACACGGAGTTGATAAGTTCGTGACAAGAAAAGACGTCAAAGAAATAAATGTCCCGGAAATAATTGAATGATATTTCCTGCCAACAGGAAATGAATGCGTCCACATGTAGATCATAAACAAATTTAAAAATAGGCGAACATTATCGGGAGTTCAGAGCGGGTATGTTGGTCGGTCAGTATTTATTTCTGGGATTAGAACCTCCCGAAAGAACCCAATTAATAAATGTGAATATTTTTTAAACAGTTGACCCTGTCTGGAGGCTCAATTCCATAACTTAGATTAAGGTTCTAATGAGGCTCCATCATGCTGATAATGAAGGCGATAGTTCATTGATGTTCGTAAATATATTTTTATCGGGTCTCTTTGGCTATATCAAATTAAAGTGACTAAAAATTAATAACCTCGACATTAATTATATTAAAACTCCCTGAGTCAATTTCGTGCGAACTTTTTGACTCGTTGACTCAAAATTGCCAAAAATGAGTTAGTAACCGATAATGTGCGTCAAGAAAATATTTTAAGACCACACCACAAGGTAATGAACAAATCAAGGTAATGTCATAAACTTACATGGATTTATACACGATCGAGCAGTGACTTCATTCATCACCGGATCGTCCCAATCATTAAAAATAAGTGCAAGGATTAGAGAATAATTTTATTATTTACGACACCGATACCTCGAAGCTAACGTTCTTAATATTTAGAAAATGAAAGGCTAATAATATTCATGCGCAGAAAAATGGCGCTTGCCTTGTAATCATGAGACAAAACTTTGGGCATAAGTTGGGGTATTAACGTTTCATATTATTCATATTAAGTTTCAAAGCCCCTATTTTATGGCTTTTGAAGAGCATATATATGAGACGTAATTTCACTCCATGCTCACTCTAAGCCAGCGTGAACCCCAGCCCGTACAAGGAGGTGTCACTCCTACAGAGCATGTCGAGGCTGTCACGCTAAGTCTTATTCGCTTGTGTTCCCAATATTTGAAATTATTTTGGGTATTTAGATGATTATATCTGATAAAAAAACTGGCGGAAATTAAAGTGTTCTTGGGAATTTTTAGAGTGTTTTTAAGAGTAATTGATATTACTGTATCATATCATTGCCTTATAATATTGAACTAGTTAGTAGAAATTCGTTTAAAATTAGAAATAAGTAACTAAAATCATTACCTTTTCAAAAAATAACCAATTAAAAACCATTAATTTT